CTCGTTTGTCTCTATGTGGCCCTGTGATGGACTGGAGACCCGTCCAGGGTGTACCCCGCCCCTCTCACAGTGATTGCAGGACATGGGCACCAGCGACCCCCGTGACCCAAAATAGAATAAATGGGTAAAGATAATGGATGGATGGATGAAGTCAATAATGTTGTACTGCTAATGTACATGTTGTAATGTCAGTAATGTTTCACCAAACACTGTCATTGGAAGTATATTTTGCAACTCTTTGAAAATTATATTTAGTAGACAAAGGAATGTCGTACTCTTGACCTATACTGAGTGAAGTCATTATTTTTCTTCCCAAACAAAAAATAAGAGTTTGGCAAATATAAATATCCATTGCTTTTTTCTTCCAGTGAGAAATGTTAAACTAACGTAACTATCCAACCTAATTTTCACCCAATAGATTAACTGAAATGCCCACATTAGATATGAACATTTCTACATGTGTGAAACTGTATCCTGAGACAGAAATATTGCTTTAAACCTGAAAGTAACACCTGAGGAAACCTGCAAAATTCACAAGGTGTCACGTCTAAAGGCTGTTTTTGTGCTAACTGTGTAGTGCATTACTCTTTGTAGTGAACTTGACCTGATGTCAAAACTAAGCCCAAGGTCAAAACCCTTGACCTCTGTTCATCTACACCTTTATCTCAAAACCCCACTATGATCTTGATTCTAACAACCAGAGCAGACCACGCTGTAGGCAACGCTACACTCATGTTGTTCTTAAATAAAGAAATAAAATCAGTGTTTATTTAAGGTCACTCTGCCTCACGTTCATAAAGAAGAAGGTGCTTCTGTTTGTCTTGATGGATGAAACCTCCGACTCCACAGCAGCTGCTCAGTGCACACAGAAACCATGGCAACACGAAGGGGCGTGCTCCCTCCATCTCCAGGTAGATGACACGGTGTGAAAGAGCTGACTGCAAACATCGAGCCGGACATGTGAGCAGCCAACCGTTGCCATGGCAGCGGCAGGAGCAGTGAGTCATGACAGCAGCAACGCAGGAAAAGTAAAGTGAGGCGCCCAGAGACAGGCAGGCAGGGATAGGGGAAAGAGATAGAAGGAAAAACAGAGTGAAGGAGAGGCAGAGGAAAGGAAAGATGTGATGAAGAAGTGTAGCTGTGGCCAGACGAGTCCGGACCGTCCGACTGGACCGGAAAACCTGGCAGTTCTGACCTCAGGACGAAGCCTTTGGGGGACGGGCAGAAAATGGAAAAGAAGCGAGCAAAGTCTTCTTCCCACAGAGTTCCAACAATCACCAACAAACACATCATTGAAACGTTGCCACGGAAACACAAAGTAAAGGAAGTGCAACCTATTTACGGACACTACAGCCACCTGAAACCGTGCCACAGCTGTGTCTGGCTTCAATACTACGACTGTAGTAGACCAGAAAACTTCTTCTCCTGAAGAGCAATTATCCCGACCACAGGAAGTGTTTGTTTTTGTTTTTTAAACATGTCCCTTTCACAGCGTGTCAGTACCTCAAGTCAGCTTCCTTAAACAAGAGTCACACAGTCAACAAAACAGCGTAAGAAAGAGGAACTTGGAGTTGAATAACCCAGATCCGTGTGTGTGGTTAGAACCATGAGGCGAGGTCGTCTAACAGCTTGTTATTTTAAGCCGAGAAAGTAAAGAAAAGAATCAGAGCCTGTGTTGCTCACTGACCTAGGTTCAGTTCTCAGGGATGTCCTGGGACTGCGAGGTGGTTTCTGGGTGTCACGCTGTGGTTATGTTGTCCGTCAGAGTTTGTTTAAGGAGGTGGGAAAAGGCGCCACGAGAGGAATTGTCGTGTTTTTATGCAACATGAACAATATTATGACCACAAAACTTTCTGAAGAAGAATTGTTGATGATATTCAGAGGGACAGCAATACAGCTACAACCCAAAATGTATATTCAAACCATCATAACTTTGTATTAATCCAAACCAAGAAAAATCACATACATTTTGATGTATAAACTGCAAATAGTGCCAAACACTTTTTGTATTCTGCGGGGGGTCTAGGAATGTGAGACCCATGGTGTGAAAGAAGAGAAAACTTTTATATATATTTTGTAGACATAACAAAAAAAAACCTAAGAAGTGTTTGTTTGAGAAAGATTCAAAAATTTTAGGCATCACAGAAGTGTGACATCATTCACCAGGTGACCATTCCATGGACAAAAAAAAAATCTAAAACTTTAACTATGATTGTGTAAATAGTGGAAAATGTACCAAAGTGGTGGTTCAGTCATGTAAAGTCCATCTTTTTGTGACTCGTTTAGACTTGGAATGATTTTTCTACAGCTCCAAAGAGGGCTGGGTTTCCTCATGTGCTTCACAAAAACCCCTGAACTCCATTTTTTCAAACAGTGTTTTGCAAGTTTTGTCTACATTGTGTGACATGACACTTCCAGAAGTCTTATCCCACTATTCACCACTGACCTGCACAATCTGATGGATAATTTGTATGCTTTGTTTCAAGAGTGCGTTAGTGCTCTACTATAAAATAAATGCAGGGTGTCCCATCAGAGGTGAAAGAAGAATTCCCAGCATGCCCTGAACTGATCGCTGCTGATCGTTCATCTGAGTTTCATTCCAGTTTGGGGACATACCTGCACAATGGGATGCCCTCCTGTGGGTGCTTTGACTGCACCCCTGCTTCCCTCTGTCTCATAATGGGCCCTGTGGTGCGGTTTGGGCTGCACGTCAATGTGGAGCTCATACTGGTCTGTGCGACTTGGAAGGGGCCATTCCAGTGGGGGGAGCGAAGCCAGAGGGATGCTGCAGAGAATGGTGATAGAACAACGATGCAGGCCATAATTGAACTTTAATATTTCTGGAAGGTACAAGCTCATCAACCCAAAACAACAAACTCTCTCTGTTTCACCAGCTTACCTGCAGATGCTGGAAACCAGTGGCTTGGGCCACATTTGTGGGATGACAAAGAAAGACTCTGCAGCAGGTTTGGTTTTGATGTCCTGATCACAGGACACCAGGTAATTCCCATCTCCGTGGTTCTCTGGGTACAGGGTGTAGACCTGGTTGGAGGTCTTCACTATTTTAGTGGGCACCAGTCCTGGCTGACCACTGCCAAACCCATTCACACCATCAACCAGGCCACTGTGTGCATAGTGGGCTCCTGTGTTGAGCTCCTCATGGCCTCCATGTGGAGAGGGGCTGGGGGAGCGGTGCCCAGGGATCAGCCCTGGATTCCTGTACATGTCGTAGGTACGTTTCCCCTGGGGGGAGGCGGAGCGGGAGCCAGGTCTGGGTGAGGGTGAACGGGCTCCTGGGCAGCCGTCCTCAGCCAAGCTAGTGCGAGGGGAGGTTCCTGGGGAGGTGCGGGGTGAGCTGGTGTGGATGCTCTGTAGCCGGGGGCAGAGGTCCGAGGGGTTCTGGCCGTTGCTGGGGGACACGCACGGGGACGCCCAGGGGGAGTAGCTCTCCGAGTGCCAGCTTGTGGAGGAGTTGCTGCTAGCGGGACTTAGACACTGGGGCTCGCGGTAGGACAGGCTGTCATGGCCGGGAACAGTGAGGGTGGGCCGGGGGCTAATGTTCACGTGCTGGCTCTGCAGGGAGTCCCGGCCATGACTGTAGTGCTCACGGGAGGGGGTTATCTCAATACGAGGGCTCAGGGCCAGACCCACAGGCCGGATGCTGTCCTGGTAGCTCCTGGCCTCCTGGTTCTCATACCCCAAGAGGACCCCGTTGCCGTGCTCAGCATAGGAAGGGCTGCAGGACTTGATCCTGTAAGGGGAGGTCTCGTCCAGAGGAAAAGCCTGCTCAGATTCAGGACTGAGGACTTTGTGGGGGGCGAGGTTGGGCTCATCTGGACCAGAGAAACATTACAAGGTGTTAAACAAACAAAATGCAAGTTACCAAGACACAATTACCAGTGAGCTGTCCTGTCTGGACTTTACAAAGTTACTTAAAATGCAACAAACATCTGGTTTTGTTTGGGGCTCTGAGTGTAAACATTTTATCACCTGAAAGAAACAGATGTTTTGTTTCTGGCACTTTCTCTCACGTGGCTTCATGTCCGCCCAACAAGCTTTAAAATACTTCCTGATCTACTCTTTCTTTCATAAATCAAGTTTTCCAGGCCACGCATCAAAAAGGAGGCAACCAACAACCCAAACACGGAGTGGGGGTCAGCTGAGGTGACAAGCAGCGACGGACAAACCTTGATCTCCCCCAGGAAAGTCGCTGCAGGGCGGCTCGTACTCAAACAGGTACTCGAAGGATAAATCGTCATCAGGACAGCTGACTCGGCTGAGCTCTTCCTCCAGGTCCTTTCCGTCGTAGAAGGAGCTCATCTGTCTGATGTGTGATGCTTTTCTGTCCCGTGTGGACCCCGCCCGCGTGCGCAGGTGAGGATGAGCGCGGCTGGTGCGACCTGTAGGGATCCTTCTGTTCCAGCGTCACCTCTTTACGCATCGAACGAGCTGCAGGAGGAGAAGAGCGCTCGCGCAGAGCTTCCTGTTTCTGCCGCCGCGGTTATTTTCAGACTGGGGGGGAGGGAGGGGGGGTTCTATTTACAAACTGAGCTCTGCAGCAGCAGCGGGTCGGACCGCACCAACCCGCTCCGAGTCTCCTGTGACGCGCAGCCTGGTGCTGCCCCCGGGTGTCGGACGGCCAGCAGTGACGCTCGCTGCTTCCGAACGTTTCACTTCCGCTTTAAGGACAGACAGATGATCAGAAGAGTCTTCATTTAATGATGTTTCTCTTCCTTCAACCCGCCTCCTGCCTGCTGGGGTTCCACGTGGCGCGCTCTGTTGTCAGATGAGACGCACGGGTCTCCTCCGGGTATCCCCAGATTTACGCGCGACGCAACAACACCGGGTGGGAGGTGGGGGCAGCTACACCCTCCACACCCAGCGCGCCACAGGTATGTGCTCCGTCAGCAACAACAAGCAGCTGTAGCAGTCATTCATTTAGATGAGTGGTCCCCAAAGCTGGGTCGAGACCCCACTGTGGGTCACGACACATCAAGTGGCTCCACAATTATTACAAAGGATAAATACGATAAATGTAAATTAAACAAAAGTAATGTCTCAGTTGTTTTGTCATTATTGTTTAATGAAATTAGAAAACATCGGATACAGATGTGATATTGGGGGCCACAAACCTGCAGATGTTATTTGGTGGGTCGGATGCTGAAGGTTCGGGAAGCGGATGAAGTTCTTTTAACCACATGTCACAGCTTGATTATAAAGCTGCTTATTGTGGGATGTTTTGCGCATTCCAGACAAATAAACCAAATCAGAAGCAACATTTGGAGCTAAAGTTACCGACAGTTTGAGAACTTTAAGTGTTTCCTAAACTGTTCTTAACCAGAAAACAAAACTTTACATCCACATTAATGTTGGTTAGACTCGTGTTTTCACCTTAAATATCAAAAATCAACATTTCCTGATGACATCCCATAACTTCAGACCTGAACACATCAAATCACTGTCAAATGAAAGATGATCAAAGTGGTTGATTACCAGATAATCACAACACTTCAGCAGTACCTTGATCCATGGACCTCATCGTGTGGTACTGTGCCAGCCTGCAGTTCTCTCTGAACATCTGGATGGAAGAAAAACAAACTCCAAAATGGAAGAAAAAACTTACAAAGCTGAAAATTTCTCTCTTCGGACAGCCATAGCAGAGGAGAGGCTTCGGTGTAAACGTGTAAAAGCAGAAGAAAAATTTGTAAAAAAGCTCTTTAGTTCAACAAACTTCACGAGCTGCGCGTAAAATGGAGTTTGTCTAGAAAAACCTGCGGCCGCCTCGGCTACAGAGGAGCTTCTGGTGTGAAGTCCTCCTTCCTCGAGCTCTAGGAGGATTACTTGAGCATCAAGGGCAGTTTCCTTCCTCGCTCTGGGTGTTTATAATGCTCCAGTGCAGTAAAATAACGGGATTCCCTCAGTGTTTCCTCCTGTTTGTGCGCCTTTGCCATGGAAACCTGGAGCGGCTCCATGTCCGAGACTCAGGGCTTTCCTGCAGAGCCCCCACACTCAGGAATCCATGACGTCTCCAGAGCCCGCGCCAAGGCATTTCTGCGGCTTCTCCCAGACAGTAGCGCACAAGAACCTCATTGTGGGGAGGAAGAAATGACTGCGGGGG